ACGACCTCCGGGAAATCTTCGCCATCATGCAAAAATTCAACCTTCGGCTAAACCCGAAGAAGTGCACCTTCGGCGTCCAAGGGGGCAAGTTCTTGGGTTACATGGTGAGCCGAAGGGGTATTGAGGCCAATCCCGAGAAAATCCAGGCCATCATCAACATGGAGCCCCCACGCAATGTGAAGGAAGTTCAACGGTTGACGGGCCGCCTGGCAGCCCTCAACCGCTTTCTATCTAAATCGGCGGAGAAGTCTCTACCCTTCTTCCAGATCATGAGGAAGACGACTGGCTTTCTATGGACTCCAGAATGCCAGGGGGCTTTCGACGAGCTCAAACGATATCTATCTTCACCTCCTGTGCTCTCCAAACCCAAGGTAGGGGAGACCCTCTACCTCTACCTTGGGGTTAGCCCGGCGGCCATCAGCTCTGTGCTCATTCGGGAGGAAGACGGCACCCAACATGCCATCTTCTACGTTAGCAAGACCCTAAGGGAGGCCGAGCTCAGGTACTCCCCTGTGGAAAAAACGGTGTTAGCCATCGTTTGGACTGTCAAGAAGTTGGGCCACTACTTTCAGGCTCACCCGGTTCAGGTCCTCACCCATCAACCCCTCGGCGCCCTCATGAGGAGCCCCACCAGCTCCTCCCGCATGGTGAAATGGGCTATCTTCTTGAGCCAGTACAACATTGACATCCGTCCAAGGCCTACCATCAAGGGCCAAGCCTTGGCGGACTTTGTAACGGAGTGTACCGCAAGGGCGGCCACGGACGGGGAGCCCTCGGCTACCTCGGACGACTGGTGGACCCTCTACACCGACGGCTCCTCCGTGACCAAAGCATGCGGGGGAGGGGTAGTCCTCATTACTCCCGAGGGCTTCAGAGCCTACTATGCAATCCGCTTCTCCTTCAAAGTCTCCAACAACGAGGCCGAATATGAGGCCCTCCTATGTGGCCTTCGGCTGGCTGCCAACATGAGGGCTCGGCAGATCCACATCAAATGCGACTCCAAGTTGGTCGTTGGCCAAATCTCCGAGGAATATGAGGCCAAGGAGGGGAGAATGAAACAGTACAAGGAAGCGGCCAAGGAGTTGCTTAAGGTATTTGAGGCACACTCTCTCACTCAAATACCGAGGCTCAGAACTCCGAGGTCGACATATTATCTAAGCTCTCGGCCGACTCCCCCGAGCACATCTCCAAAATTGCCAAAATCGAGGAACTCAGCCTCTCAAGCATCCATGCAAGCCCTGTTATGAACATACAACAACGTCAGGAGGATTGGATCTCAGATATCACCGCCTTCATCTCCACAGGACAGCTACCCGAGAATGAGGCCCGCGCTAAACTGGCAAAGCTGAGGGCTCCTAGCTACACCATCGAAGATGGAAGGCTCTACAAACGATCTTACAATGACACGCTACTTCGGTGCCTTCATCCAGATGAAGCCGAGGTCGCAATGCAGGAAGTGCACAGTGGCACTTGCTCAGCTCACCAGGGACCCTTCTCCATGTCCCGAAGGCTCATTCTCCAGGGCTACTTCTCGCCAACCATGGCCAGGGATTGTGCTGACCTTGCCCGGAGGTGCACCGCATGTCAACATTTCCAGAAAGCTCCCGGCAGGCCAGCGGTCAACTATGCCCCCATCAGCACCTCTATCCTCTTTTCTCGATGGGGGGTAGACCTTGTGGGCCCTCTGCCGAGGGGTACCTCCAACAACAGATACATCATTGTGGCCGTCGACTACTTTACCAAGTGGATGGAGGCTGAACCCCTCGCCAGCATCACAGAGGCGAAGTGCCGTCACTTCGTCCTCAAGAACATCCTCACAAGGTTTGGCGTCCCCCAGCAGATCATCTCCGACAATGGGACACAATTTGAGGCAGCCCCCTTCTGTGCCCTTCTGGAGGCATGGGGCATCAAACACACCTTCTCCTCCGTTGCCTACCCTCAAGGCAACGGGCAAGTAGAGAATGCCAACCGGACCTTGCTCGAGGGCCTCAAAAAGAAGCTAGAGGCCGAGGGCGGTGGCTGGGTGGAAGAACTCCACAACATCCTTTGGGCCTATCGCACCACCCCTCGGCGAGCAACAGGTGAAACACCCTTCTCCCTCTGCTACGGTTTTGAAGCCAAAGCTCCTACGGAAGTCACCCTTCCCACCCGAAGGGTGATCCAATATGACCCCGAGGTCAACGACAGCAACATGGCCCTCGACCTCCACCTCATTTCAGAACGCCGGGAGCAGGCCTTCATCCGAGCAGAAAACTACCGAAGGCAAGTTAAAAGCTACATCGACGCCAAAGTCCGCACCCGAGAATTTCAAGTGGGGGACTATGTCCTCCGGAGGAGGGAAGCCAGCCAACCAACCGAGGGAGGAAAAATGGCACCAAAATTCGAAGGCCCTTACATCATAGCAGCCATCATCAAACCTGGGACCTACAAGCTCAAACGCCCCAACGGGAAAGAAGTCCCTAGGCACTGGAATGTACACCACTTAGTTAAATTTTACCAATAATGTAAGAGCGGCCAAGCCCTCATAACTAGTGAATGTACTATCCTATGGCCCAAGGCCCCCAATTTCGAAGAATGAAGATACATTCAAGACATCAAGCCCTCATACTGACTACAGGCCCCCGGCCTCACCACGAGAAAAACCCCCTCCGGCACCAAGTGCCGAGGACGGACACCATCAACACCTACAAACAGTGAAAACACCACGTGTTTTCAGTCAAGACCCCTCGGTACCAAGTGCCGAGGGAGGGAACTCCTATCACCAACAACAAGGAACGCCATGTGTTTCATTTCCCTTCGGCACCCAGTGCCGAGGGTACATCCCCACCTTCAACATCAAAAAAGAAAAGATGAGAACACCAAGTGTTCCTACAGAAGACCCTTCGGCACCCAGTGCCGAGGGTACACCTCCATCATCAAACATCGAAACGAAGAAAAAACACCAAATGTTTCAAAGAAGACCCCTCGGCACCCAGTGCCAGGGATATGCTCTCCAATCAACTTCCAAACATCTGTTGGGAAACACCAAGTGTTCCATTTGAAGACCCCTCGGTACCAAGTACCGGGGGCTACACATCGAAACTAACACCAAGTGTTGTTTCTAAAAGCCATACCCCACGAGGACGCATATACCGAAGGCGCCACCATCGGTGCCGGCGGCACGTAGTGCCCCCGGCCATTTGCAACTAGTGTGCAAATGAAAACCCTTCCTTGAAACGGTTTCTGCATCACTACCCCCAGGGTATGACAGGCATGAGAAATGCCCAGGATTCGACTTTCAAAAACGGAACGCTATCCGCGTCACTACCCCCAGGGTATGACAGGCATGAGAAATGCCCATGATTCGACTTCCAAACTGAAACGCTCCCCGCGCCACCACCCCAAGGGTGTGGCAGGCCACGGACTATGTCTAGCGCCATGGGGACGACTTTCAAAAATGAGGCGCTTTCCGCGCCATCCCCCAAGGGGAGGCAGGTTACGGACCACCATATCTTGTGCCCAGGAAACGTCCCTCGATCCCCTCGGAACTCGGAAGGTTAACCCGAGGGAGGAGAGCCATTGGTGTATTCTGATGGTCTCCTAATAGGCCCAGCCTTACCAAGAAACCAAGTTTCTTGATGCCTTCCCTTCACCACCAACCAAAAAAAAAAGGGGGGGGGGGTGAAGGGGAGTAGACTCAGCGAGAAATCAAAGAGTACACTCCAACAGATCACAACATCCCGAGGGCTCCCCACGGGGACACCTCCGGTAATTGAAGGCTCCTATTTCCCGAAGGATACTACTCAAACAAATATCATCAGGAAACGGCTAAGTCCACTGCCTGGTCACCTCCGGTCACACAAGCACCGAAGGCTTCAGCAAGGGTCAAAATCTACAACTTTTAAAGTGTATGCCGAGGGCACACACTCATCATTGGTTTTCTTCACAACAACAGGATTCCACAACAACTCAAGGGGCCCACGATCACCCGAAGGGTCCCGTTCATATATCCGGAGGGCTCTACACCTGGAAGCTTGACATCACTTTACACTTGCAAAAAAAAAAAAAAAAAAAAATTCTAAGTCCTAAAATTGGCCCCCCGGCTCAATCAACATTACAGCCAGTGGAATACAATAGCCGAAGGCTATGCGATACAACAACACTTGCAAAAAAAAAAAAGAATTCTAAGTCCTAAAGATGGGCCCTCGGCTCAATCAGTATTGCAGCTAAAGGAATATGACAGTCGAAGGCCATACATCAAGAAGGGATGCCATCTCCCGAAGGCTCCCAAGGGAAAATCTACACTTAGAATATTTTCTAAGTCCTACATATTTTCCCCCCGGTCAACTACTGTTACATCAAGAAGGGATGCCATCTCCCGAAGGCTCCCAAGGGAAGATCTACACTTGGAATATTTTCTAAGTCCTACATATTTTCCCCCCGGTCAACTACTCTTACATCAAGAAGGGATGCCATCTCCCGAAGGCTCCCAAGGGAAAAACTGCACTTAGAAATCTTTCTAAGTCCTACATATTTCACCCTCAACTTATAAAGGGACCTAATTGCCGAAGGCTGCCTATCAATCAAAGGCTACAGTACACAAGGAATCAACACTCAAGAAAATTTCCTAAGTCCTAAAGAATTGGCCCCCGGCCTACTCAATATTTCAGTTGAGGCTCCACAGTAGCCGAAGGCTACGTGACATACTACACTTGCAAAAAATCTCTAAGTCCTGTGCATTGGGCCCTCGGTCCAACGTTCACACATCAGGAAGGGATGCCATATCCCGAAGGCTCTCAAGGGGAAATCTGCACTTAGAAATTTTTCTAAGTCCTAGGATTTGGGTTACTACAAACGCCCGAAGGCCTCATGCTGTGCTACACTTAGCAAAAAATTTCTAAGTCCTAATAGCTGCTGAACCCTCGGTTGCATATACATCAGAGGGTGCCCAGCTACCGAAGGCTTCCAGGGGCAAGCCACAATCAGAAAACATTCTAAGTCCTAAAACATACATTCAAAGGAGAAGGCATACATTCAAAACATAAGGCGCATTCAAATATGAAGAGCCCGGAGGCAGCATGCATTCATCAAAAACAAGAGTGAGTGTGAAATTACAAACAGGCCGAAGCCGAAGGATCAAAGTTATTCATTACAAAATGTGTTCAGAGATTTCTAAGCGCATATTACACATCAACAACATCATTCCCGGGGGCACCCTCCCCCGATGGCTTCGAGGTAACCTCCGTCCCGGTGGCGTCCTCGGCATCATCATCGACGCCCATCATCATGGAATCATGAATCACCGGGCGCTCTTCTCCCTCGGGGAGGGGGACCCGCACATCTGGCTGCAACGGGGGGAGGCCGTACACCGAGGGGTTGAACTCATCCAGGGAGGTGCCAAAATGCCGGGCGAGCCTCCGGTAAACCAGGTGCTGGGTGAAGAACTCGCCAGCTTGATAGTAGGTGTCACCCCTCTCATTCATCCAGTCGAGCCCGGGGCCCCTCACCCACTCCTCGATCGAGGCCTTCACCACAGAGGCCACCCACTCGCTCTGGCCCTCGGCCTTCCAGCCCTCGGAGGTGAACCCAGCAATGGCCTCTTCTCGGGCTTTGGCAGCAGCTTCAGCCTTGGCCTTCTCGGCGTCCTCGGCAGCTTGTTTTCTCTCCTCGGCCGCAACCCTCTCGGCCTCAGCCCTGCCCTCGGCTATCCCGTCATCTCTGGCCTCCTTCAGCCGCAGCTCCGCTTGCCGAAGGGCGTCCTCCAACTTGCACACCTCCCGAAGGGCAGCGTCCTTGTCGTGAATCAGCTCCTTCACGGACTTCTCTAGCTCGGCCTTATGACGGCACCACTCCTCTCGCCTTCGGGCCTGCTCACCGAAGGTTATACAAGCCTGTTGAATAACAGACAGAGGGTTCAGACGGACATTGGGATTATGCTAAGTGTTGAGATCAAGTCAAAGTAAAAACACTTACAGTCAGAGCTGATCGAAGGGCCCTGGCTTCGAGGGCGTCATCGTTATAGGTGGAGAGGGCTTCTTTGTCCATCATCGAGGTAATCCCCCTCAGGAAAGACATCGGCTCGGCTGAACCGTGCAATACAGATGCCCCCGGAGCGAGGGAGAGCCGAATAATCTCCCGAGGCAGGTTCCCCGGGGGAAGGTCTGTTTGAGCCATCGGAGTATCAATTGCCGAGGGGTCAGCGGAGGGCTGATCATCGAGCACTATGAGGGGGGCCGCCTTCTCAACGGCGCCCCCGGCAACCTTCTGCTTCTTGATCGGGGGCTCCACCCCCTTGCCCCCCTTTTTCTTCTTGGCTGCCACATCAGCCTTCGGCCCCCCGGCCGCAGTAGCAGGAGCAGCAGCAACTGAAGGCTCTGCGGTCTCCTTCGGGAAAACCTCATCAATGGGCTTTTGACCCGAGGGCTCCGTCTTCTCCTTCTTCTGGGCCTGCGCCCTCTCCTTCTTCTTTTTCATTGCGAAGAGAGCCTCCATACCTGCAAAACAAAGCAAAGAGAATATTAACCTGAAGGGTTCATACCACAAACAACTATCGGGATGCAAAATGAAAGTGCCTAAGTAGGAGACTAAGGGCCCTCGTAGCCTACCTCCTGCTCCCCCGAAGGCCTCAGTGAAGACGGGGTACTTCTCATCTATTTCCCCGATGAACCGGTACCGTTGGAACCCGTGGGCATGCAAGTCTTCCTCAAAAGTGCATTCTTTGATCGTCACGACCTTCGTCTTGCCCTCCGGAATCTTGGCGAGTTTCAAGCCATCCTTCTCTAGGGCAGCACTCCCCACCCTCTCGTGGCGCCGAAAGCGGTCCCGTAGCTCCCTCGGGAAGGGATTCTCGGCCAGCCGGACGTAGCACCATCTGTCTTTCCAGCCCTTATTGGACGAGGGCGCCTCGGTAAACAGCTTGAACTTTGCTACCTGCTGTAAATTGGCGAAGCCCTCGGCATTCGCGTGCCCCCCTCGGCACAAGTTGAAGCTTTGGAAGAAGAGGTCCAAGCTTGGGGTAACATCCCTCGTCCGGCACAGGTGCAGGAAGCCAGCAACGTATGAATGGCTGTTGGGGGTAAGTTGGCAGTGGATGAGTCCAACAAACCTGAGGTACTCCCGGAGAAATGGGTGCAGGGGGAACCGGAGGCCCATTGACACCGACAGAATGTGGACGGCAATGCATCCCTCGGGTGGCCTGGACAGCAGATCGTCGACGCCTGGCTCCACCACTACGGCCGAGGGCCCAACGTGCAGCTGCGTGACGTACAAGTCAGCCCTGTCCGCCTTCGACTTGATATCGAGGGCTTCGGTGTTTAGCCAGGTATACCCCTCTGGCATTTCAACAGGCCCCCCAGCACCGGCGGCAACACCCTTCTTCTTGGGGGCAGCCCTCTGCGACTTCATCTTCTTTTTGCCGGGGGCTATTCTCAGAGGCGTCGGGTCCAACGGCCTGGAGGTAATAGGCTTCGTCATCGGCAACCGAGGGCGCACTGCTGCTTGACTCAACATCGGAAGCAACCTCATCCTCAACCGAGGGCTCCCTCGAGATATTTTGGGAATCGCTCTCGGACGACATTCTTTGCCACAAAATGTGCCTAAGGTTTCGAAGGATTTCTACAGAACCCTAACCCTAAACTAAGGCCAGAGGGCGGAACTTACAAAAAGTGTTGAGGAGCGAAGGGAGAACTAACCTCTGAAAGTGCTATGACCGAGGGCTTGAGTTTCTCTCTCTAGAATTTTTGACAGAGCTTCGCTAAGGATTTTTGGACGCGTAAGGAAGAAATGGCTCTGGCTCCGGGGTATTTATAGACCCCAGAGTCCGGGATTGGGCCCGAAAACTGGGCCTCCGGATGGACGCCATCATCACACGCCGCGTCTTCGCCCAACCAGTGATGCCGCCCACGGACAGCCAGCCATCACACACCACGTGTACCCCCCCAACGGCTAAAAACCTGACGTTACATATTCCAACGGCTATATTTCCAACGGCTATATTTCCAACGGCTATATTCTGGAAGCCCCCGGGTTTTCTACTTCACCCCACTCCATCAAGGATAGCCTCCGGGTACACTTACCCAGAGACACCCCCGGGTTGTGCCCCACACAGCCCCATAGCAGATGCCTTCGGGATCACCCCTTCAGAAACCCAAGGCTTCATATCAGGGCACCCCTCGGGGATTCCCCCTCAGCACTGCAAAACCGGGTAGCCCCCGGGGAGTTGCCTCATTGACGGGTGACCCATGGCACACAGGTAATGGGAGCCCTCGGGTATCTTCATCACCAACTAATCAACAAACAGTGGACCCCCCGGTAACAACTCCACTGCAGCCCTCATCCAGCGTGCCTTCGATCCCCAGAATGAGGGGCTCCCCTTCGGCGCACCCAGGACATCAACAGCAAGCCTTCGGCTAACCAACACATGAGCCCTCAGAACAAGGAAGAGCCTTCGGCATTACCGTTGTTCTCCATTTCTGACCAAGGTTTCACATTTTCGATTCATCATTGGGGGAATTCGGTGCACTCTTTTTCCCTCATTAGGATTTTTTCCCCCAGGGTTTTTCCTAATGAGGTTTTTAACGAGGCATCCCCCCCAAAAAAATGAAAAGCGTCAGCCTTCGGCCCACAACAGCAACGTAACTACTTTACTCCTTTTCACCACTTTACAAGTGCCTCAAGGAGTGGGGGACTGGAGGACCCCCTCGGGAAAATCATTAAATTACAAAATCAGTGAAATTCCAACAAACGACAAGGCAAGCCCTCAAGTCCCGACATGTGGGTAACTGAGGGACTGCCTTCGGCAGGGACATAAAAGCAACAACTCCTCACCAACTTCAGAGATCATGACGGGACAACATCAAAGGGCAAGCACAAATTACTCCTTTTCCCTCAAGTACCTTTCGGCAAAAGGAGTGAGGGACTCCTGATGGAGTATATGGCCCGGGAACCCCCGGCCCACAGACTCCTACTACACTAGTGAAGGCCCAACAGGCCCAGGAGGCCCAACAGGCCCAAATCACAGCGCCCAGAGTACCAAGCAGCCCGCACTACGCTCCAGAAGTGCCTTCGCCCCCCTGGCCGAAGGCTCTAAACTCTCACAGAACGGGTTTCTCAAGCAAATTAAGAAACTGGGAGAAAACGGCGAAAAAGTAGCCCTCGGCACTGTGAGCCCTCGGCACCAGGGTGCCATCGGTTGGAGGAGCCCTCGGCTACTGCTCTATAGCCGAAGGCATCTCACTCGACAAGATATCCGCCTCACATGCGTACAGATCGACGTACCCTGCACAGACGTCCCATCCAACAGCCGCATTAAATGCGGCCACATGCGGCTGCCAGCGCCAGCCAGTTGAGGTGACCCCTCGGCCAATGAGCGCTTGACACGTGTCCCTGTCCGGCATTTATTGCTACTATAAATAGCACCCCATTTCCTCATTTGTAACCACGCTGAAAACGGCATTCACACTGAATACACTCTCTCTCTACTTTTACTTACTTGCTCTGACTTCTCTCTAAGTTATTCCCCGTAATAACCCTTCAGATATATACCACCGGGTAGACTATCCATCAAACTGTTATAGGTATTTTAGTAGTTATCACAAATAATTCTGTCCCATGCACTAAAACATCATATTCGTGCACATAACTTTATCACAAATGATTTCGCCCCATGTACTAAAACATCATACTAGTGCACATAACTTTATTACAAATAATAATTCCGCTTCATGCACTAAAACATCATACTAGTGCACATAACTTTATACACCCATACACTTAGTTCATTTGCATATTACTGCACAAATCCACTGCAGTAGTGCACACTTATGCTTTGTAAACTCAAATACGGAGTATGTTATTCAATACAAACATGCTCCCACTACTATGTTATTGAACTGCACAATCTCCAAAATTTGCATAACTTTATTTGTGCATTAGATATCAGTTTGTATATATTACATACAACAAGTTTTACTTTCTTTTTGAGTACGAAATCATCTCATATGCATTAGATATCGGTGATGGTGTGTTAGATACATGTTCTTGTGCATCCGGTAGATAGAAATGTTTGTTGTTCTTTATTGTATGCATCTTATACATATTTTATTTTTAAAAATTATATATGACATATTGATGTCATATGAAAGAGCACAAAAAGTTATTTAGTTTGGTATAATTTTTGTTAAAATTGGATTATTATTTAAGAAGTTAAATCAATTTATAAACTAAAGAAATTTATATGATTTGAGATTTATTATTACCTAGTTTTTAGGGAAATGACAACCCCCTCAACCGGAGTTTTTTCCCATTGAGGGGTGTTTTTCAAACTTATTTCCCAAACTAAGGTACTTTTAAACTTATTTCCCAAATAGGGGTATTTTTTGCCATGTCACCTCAGTATCACTGCTGGGCGCCACATCAGCTTATCCACATCATCCCATCAATTCCATGTATGTAAACCACTACACTACACCATTCACTTGCTAACAAATGCTTTTTAAGAAGTATAAATCATGTATCCTTCACCCCGGGAGTGCACTATTTCTTAATCGCATGTATTATTTGTTCCTTTAGAAATAAGAAGTATATTTCTTCCTTTCCCAAACAATTAAAAATATAACAATAAAAAACTTATAAAATAAAATAAAATATAAGTAAATTTCATGCTAGTCCACTTTAAATTCTATAAAAGGTTTAATATTAATGTAAAATATCGTATAAATTTTTCTTTATGAAAATTCTCTAACAGCTCAATTTTGTTCAGCCTCAGCTCGACTCCGCCTCGGAACCAAGCATTTTTCGTTTATAAATTTATCAAGTTTTTCTTTCTTAGATAAATATTATATGATTTTCTTGACATGAATAGTATCTGATTTTAAATTGGGGTGGGTTAGAGCCTTTCATAACATTTAGTAACAATAAATTTTAATTAAGTCTTTATTTTTAATTATCACAAACCTGGTATTTTGCGTAATTTTTTAATTATTTTAAAAAGAAGCTATATATTTTTAAAGCAATGAGTAATACACAGCTAAATGTATACATTCTTGGACTTAAAGTATTTGTATTGCAAATTTCACTAAAATTTAACATGTTACGATTTAGTTCAAATTTAAGTGTTGAATTTGAAATTGAAACAATAATAATCAATGAGAAAATTGAACCGAATCCAGAAGAGTTGAGCTGCTATAATGAAATAATCACAACGAAAAGCTTAGTTTGCGATATTTAATTCTATAAAAATGTAATTTAAATTTATAAAAAAACTGAAGTATATAATTTAAAAGTTATTTGAAATAACTCAAAAGTAAATAAAATAAAAATTAAGTAAATTTCATGCAATAAGTAACTTAGAAATAAGTAACTTAGAAATATGACTTTTATTTTAATTGATTTTATTTCATTTGAAGCTAAGTTATTTAAAAAAAATACATATTCCAAATTGTGTTTTGTCATTATAAGTTTAAATTAATTTTTTGTATTCTAAGTTAAATA